TTTTATTCATACAGAGACTATTGTGATATAGTGTAGTGAGGTTCATGGAGCTCTGGGCTGCCAAATTCAGTCATTTAGTAACACTGCCCCCTCAAAGACATTTCCCCTTCTGCCACAACCCAGAGAAACAAGGAAGACATTGTATTAACTACCCTCCTTCTGGTGGAAGGAAATCTTTCCTGCCCCCACAGTCAGAAGTTTAGCACTGGACAGGTTATTTCCAATTGGACCGTGCTATCCCTGATCCTCTTCCCCGCATGAATCTTATCTATTTCTTTGATGCCTGATTATCATTGTTATTGTTCAGTTGTTTCAGTCGTCTTCAACCTTTTGTGACCCCATTTGGGATTTTCTTGGCAAAGATACTGGAGCTGTTTGCCATTTCCTTCTCCAGCTCATATTATAGATGAGGAAACTGAGGCAAACACGATTAAGTGACTTGTCTGAGGCTAGATTGAACTCAGGGAGATGAGTCTTCCTGATTCCAAGTCACTGCACCACCTAGCAGCTTAATGATGCTGTATACCCCTTACTGGATAAAAATAATCTTTCATGACAACCTGTGTTTGAATGGTCATTTGAGTTATTAGGAATTAGGATAAAAAGGTTCTGAAACAACAGCAGAAGATGCATTAGTTCTTCCCTCCTCCTCAGTGAGAAATGTGAACTACAGTTACCTATAGATCCATATGCTTCTTCACTTTCAGAGTGTGCCTCTGGCAGGCTATCACCCTTGATCTGGTCACTCCATCAGAGAACAGGGCCCAGATGAGTTTGGCACAGTGGAATGAACATTGTATCTGTAGTCAAAAGATCTTAGTTTGAACCCCAGATGTGCTACCTGGGTGATCTTAAACAAGTGATTTAACTACTCTGGGCCTTGGGTTCTTCACCTGTAAAATAATATTGGACTAGATGATCTTTACAATCCCTTCTAGGTCTAAATTTTAGATTCTGGTAAGTCCAGAGAAGGCTGACTTTCTTCCATTTGGTGGTATCAGATTAACCCTGGGGTAAAATCCCAAAGGTCATGGATCATAGAATTTCATGGCTATAATGAAGGGGTTGTTAGCCCAGTGGCCACCATCCTGTGGGCCAAGGAGTTATTATAAGAAGCTCATTAAATGACTGAGAATAACAAATAGTAAACTTACCTTCTGTTTACTGAATCAATCATTCTCCACATATCCTTTCAGTAGATCTGTGATCATATTGATATTGGTACTTAAAATTAAGACGTTTGAAACCCATCCATATCTACCCATCTAGTGCAAGTCTTGCTCATGTCTTTCTGCCAGTTCCCCACAAGGGATTGACCCATCTGCTAGGGACCTTCTTCTAGTTCTTTTGGTATCTTATTATTTTTTAATATGAAGTGTATGGAGTGTTCAAAAGGACTAGGATCTCTGGTGTGAGGACTTGCCAGGCCCTTTTCAGGGCTGCTCATCCACTTTGGTCCTACCTGATTCATCCAATTCTCACCTGTGGTTCCAAGAAGCTGTAGCATGTGCAGTAGCCACACCCCCAAAAACAGCCTTGGCAGATGGGCTAAACAAGGTTGGGGGGTAACTGGCAAGCTTCAAACCTATTGGTGAGGTAGGGGATGTCTACCCCAAGCGTGTAAAGACTTCCCCATTAGAATAGGAGGAAGAGAACAATTTGTTTCAGTGACCACAAAGGCAACTGAAGTAAGCTTTGTGGAGCACTTAGAGCTCGGCTAGACATCAAAGACACTGAGGTCATCCACTGCATTTCAGGCCATGGCCAGTTATCCTGACTTTTGTCTTGCCACTGGACTTTGGCAACTCAGGAAAAGAGAGTGGGACTAAGGACTTTGTGCAGCTTGGCCTTTCTTAAGTCCAATTCGTCCTCAAGTCAAGATATCATCAATGATGTTGTTGGTTCTCTTCAAAAACAAAGGACAAAGAACAATAATTTTCAAATATATGTAGACACAGTCATAATTAATAAAAATTTAAAAGCAATAGTGAATTCCTAATAATTTTGTCCCATTTTTTCAATCAATTCTAACAGAGTAGCTACTATCATGTTGCAGGATCCATATTTTAAAAATTATTTTAAAAAGTAGTTCTCCCCAGAAATAAAATTGAAGGCTGTGTAATTTTAATGACTAAGCTTAACCCTGGAGAAGAGTTGAGAAAATGGGATTTCTTCACTTTTTTGCAAAGGTGGGGGACTATTACATATACAGGCAGATACAGTAGATACGTTTGGCTCATTTAATTGAATTGATTTTTTTCCTCTTTATTTTCAAGTTTGACATAAGGAATGGATTACTGGGGAGAGGAAGAGAGAGGAGTATATTCAGAAACTTAAGTAAACTAAAAGAAAAAATAATATAAAAAAGATTTTTAAAGGATTTCTCATACTTGAAAAAGTAAAAAACTATTGACTTAGTCCAACTCCCATTTATTTTTCAGATATAGATACTAAGGTCCAAAGTGATGAAGGGTCTTGGGCCAAAGTCACTTAGCAAATTAGTACTAAGACCTGAGTTATTAGATTTCCAGTCTGGTACTTTTATATGTATTAGGTATATAAGGCATGGACCCAATCCTTTAACTCTCTCTTGGCTCCCTCTCTTCCTGGGCTAAAGCTGGTTCACTCACTCCAACCTGCTTCAACACTAACAGGTATGGTGGTTCTCTAGAGGGTCAGCCATGTGGTTACCCTCTTATTGTGGGGAAAATAAACATACTCATAACTATAGTTCCTAAGCCCCCATCAGTGTGCTTCATGGCAACACCATTAACTATTAATAGAATTTACTAAGCCAAACATTAACTAACCAAAAAGGCAAAAGCAAGATTAATCATAACATAGCATTTATTCAGTAGAGGGAAAAAAACAGGAATAACCAAAAAATAGCAGTTCACTTACAAACCAGGTTCACACTCTCCAACCAATGCACACAATGACTGTAGGGGAGAGTGGGTACACACTTATAGAAATCTAACAGTGAGGCACACGAGCAAAGAAAGCCATGTGCCATGTACTACTCTCAACTTAGTTGACAGGTCTAGCTGACGTTTTGGGAAACAGTCTACACCACAAGTCATTTGCTCCTGTTCTGAGCCTCTCTCAATTCTCACTACTACTGAAGCACCTGTTAAGCCATTGTAGCAGTATTAAGCTCTTTTAGCTAATACCCCTGATCCTGGTATCTGCAGAGCTTCCCAAGCCTGATACCTTGGCTAGGTCCTAAGGCATTGACATGCTCTTTTAATGAAAAGTAATTCTCTTTAATCCTGGGATCTGAACACTATTTAGGTCAGCTCTCTATAGGTTTTAAGGGGATTTCCCCTCTTGAGCCAGAGAGCAGTAAAGGATGAGATAGGCAAGACTCGATGCGCTTTCTTCTCTCTCAACCTGTGGACAGAGCTAAAAAGGAAGACAGCCTTTACCTAACCAGCTCTTCACAGAGTATGGGATGCTGCTTTCTCAAATCAGCTCCCAGTATCAAAGCTTTCCTCCAATCAGATCAGGTCCCAGCATCAACTTCAGATCCTACCTGACTAATCAACTATACTTAGCTCCTGTCAGCTTCTCAGCTCTCTTAGTCTCAATCATATTCTCTTATCCTCTCCTGGCTTCGAAGCCCTATTGGTTTCTGCTTTGTCTTCTGGAAGCAGCTTCTCTTATTGTCTTCTCTAGCTAGCTTCAGTTGCCTTCACAGATGGCCCACAAGTGGCTCTTCTGGTTGAAATTGTACCTTCCTCATGGAGTAATCCAGGCTGAGAAACCTCAGATCCAAATTTATGTCAGATGTGACACGAATAATTCATATAAAATTATTCCATAGACCTGAGTCCTGAAAACAGTCATACAAAATTAGCTCCTAGGAAATAATGGACCACACTCATCACTACCATTAGTTAGTACCATTCCCTCTGAGAAAGAAGTCTTCAGCCTGGTCCTTCAGAACTTTTTTTTTTGTTTCTCCTCGACATCTGTTTCATCTGAGGAGTTAATTTTCTCTCTCAGGTCCTCTCATGATTATGGTTCTCCTTAAGCTGTTTTCTGTGTTTCTAATACAAACATCCTTTCGCCGCCCTTTTTAGTAAAGAATATGTCCCAATAAGAAAGGGGCAGTGCCTTCCATCCAATATATCATATTGGTCAGTTGCAGATCCTAAGAAATCTTAAACTGCCTTCTGTAATGTTACAGTGATTATGACATAGGGATCATTTCTCTTAGAAGCAATACATTTGAGCGTTGATTGCCTAACTGAAGACTTAGCACACAGAGCCCCTGCTATTCTTCATCTCTTCTCAAGATTCATCAGGCGATAAAGAGATACAATAGGAAGGGTTAAGGTTAGACATTGAGAAGGACTATTCTGCCAGAATATCAGACCCCAGGGACAGTTTACTGAGAAAATGATGAAATAGTCTTCCCCAGTGAGCCAAAGTGAATGAAAAATTAACTGAAGCAGCCTAGGGGGTGGGAGGTGCCTTGAATCACTTCAAAAAAGTCTTTCCTTCCCAAATAGCCTATAAATCTTTTGACAAGCATGTGTTCTGTGTATGTTTCCTTTCCTGGAAAGGCCATAGAAGGTGAACACATTTGTTCCGAGAAGGATGATAGAAGAGTAGTCCAATACTCAGATGTAGTAAGTCATAGTCCTTTGGGAAGAGAGATAGAAAATGATGACCAAGATATTAATTTATCTCTCATTTGGAGTTATTGCTGTTGTTTTTAAAGTTCCTTCAAGTTTAGAGATCATCTAGACCAGTGGTATCACTCAAAGAGAAACAGAGGTCACTAATTCATACGTAGGGATTGTTGTAGGCCACAGTTTGACTTAGTTTAAAATATATATGTTTTATTGTATTTTTATTTATTTTGTTAAAATTTTTCCAGTCACATTTTAATCTTATTTGGGCTGCAGCTGGGAGTGTTGTGGGCCGCATGCAACCTATGTGCCATGTGCTTGACTCCTCTGATCTAAATAAACCATTTCTCTCTTTTCAAACAGGACTGAACCATCTGAGAAAGATGGATGTTCACTCATCTCTTAAAGATTTCCCAGGGAGGGAATGCCACAGTAACCTTGAATCAAATCGGTGTCTCACCACCCTTATCACCAGGGTATTAATGTTTGACTTAATGCCCACTGCCAGCAGCTTTAAGAGTGATTGACACTGACAAACTGGAGTATCCAGAGGAGGGTGACCAGAATATTAAAGTGTCTAGAAAGCATCATCAACTGGGAATGCTTAGCCTGGGGAAGAGAAAGTATATATGATAACTGTCTTCAAATATTTAATGAGTCACCAAGTAGAAGGGAGATTATGTGAACCCAAAGATGGCCTGTGCCACTAACATTTGAAAACACTATCAGTGTGTTTGGAAGTCAGAAGTAATGGAAGTGTGGTACCACTGGGATTCAAACCCACCAGTGGTATAGCAGACTGTGTTCATGTTCCATGTGTGATACCATCTATGTTCCATGTGTGATACCATGTGTGATCAGTGAAGTTCCTCAATCAACAGGACCATTTCAGGCCTGGGCTTCAAGGTGCACAGGCTTTACAATTTGAAGGGGTTCTAAGTCATCTAGATCCTGAAACTCACTACAACAAAGACAAAGGTAAGTGGGGAAAGGGCAATGGAGATTTGCTTCTGGGGATTCAGACAGTGGTAGCTGAATGCCTGTTCCACCTCTAGGATATTGTCAGAGTATGTCTCTTCTCCCACTATCTTAGGACCAGGCTCCTTGGTGGGTGTGAATTATGAGATCATTTTGGGCCTTGAGGACCCACTCACTATATTAATGTTCCTACTCCGCTACAAAGTCTCAGAACTATAAGACATTCTGGGCTGCTGGGAAATAAATTAGAAAGCCACAGGGATTGTGCTAAGTCATTGAAAGACTCTTGAGGGTGATAGCCACATTCAAGTAGTTATTCTCCATGCTACATAAAAAAATTTCCAGCTCCTACTCTACTTATCCAAATTATCCAAAGTCAATATCTGTGGAGGTGAAACTCCTCTGCCTTTTCTACTCTTCTCAATGGTCTCATCCCCCTCCACTTTAGCCTTAATCCTTCACAATCCATATCATGCTCTGTCCTTGCAGTGCACTGTGCCTTCTGGAACCCCTAACCTTTTTTTTTTTTGATGAATCAGTGGGGTTAAAATACCTATGTGTCTCTGCTATTCACAGCCCTGTGCTTGAGGTCAAGACCCCCCACTAAACCAAAAATAAAGGACAAAGGGATGTAACATATGTCTTGGCTACCGGAAACCTGAAGTGAAGGAATTATGGTCAGACATACTAGGGATGTCAATGGAAGTGACATGAAAGAAGCAGGGTGAATTAGTCTATGAACTAAAGGTCTAAAACTTATCAGTCAACAAGCATTTATTAAGCACATATGTGCCAAGCACTGTGCTAAGCACTGGGGTTACAAAGAAAGGCAAAGATAGTCTCTACTCTCAAGGACCTCAGTCCAATGGGAGAGACAAAAAGCGAATATTTATAAACAACCTTTGTGAAGGATAAACAGGAAATAATTAAAAGGAAGGCACTATGTTTAAGAAGGATCAGGAAAGGCTTCTTATAGGAGATGGGATTTTAGTTGGGACTCAAAGGAAGCCAGGAAAGCCAGTTGATAGAGATGAGGAGGGGAAGCATTTCAGGCAGAGGGACAGCCAGAGAAAAAATGCCTGAAGTATTTCTATTGTGCCTTAATGCTGTTAAAGAATGACACACAACTGGGTTCACTAAAAATTTATGATATCTAATTTTGACTAGGGCATTTAGGTGGCACAGTGGATAGAGCACCAGCCCTGGAGTCAAGAAGATCAGAATTCAAATTTGGTCTCAGACACTTCCTAGCTGTGTGCCTTAGTTCCACATCTGTAAAATGAGCTGGGGAAGGAAATGGCAAATAATTCCAGCATCTTCACCAAATGAAGTCATGAAGAGTTAGATACGACCGATCAACTAAACAACAACAACAACAACCATAACAACAAATCTCAGCTAGATTCTCATTGATGTACAGCAATTATTCTATTGCTCTCCGGTTCAGAGCACCATAGAACTAGAGCTAATGGGGAACTAGAGGCCTTTGAATCCAATCTCTCATTTTGCAGATGAGAAAAGTGAGGCACGTTGGAGTTTATTTTTAAGCCCAGTGAGGTAGATTGCCCAGACACTGGTGTCTAAGATAAGATTTGAACCCAAATCTTCCTGACTCCAAATCCAGTGTTATATCCATTTTTTATATCCATGTTGCCTCTTCTTCATTATACTCTCCAGAGTCCATTTCAAACTTCTTTCTCTTCCAGTCTACTATGACACCTCCTCCCCATCCCTTCAGAAGAAGACCTGGCCTTTTCTATCACTGAGAAAATAGAAGTCACCCCTCTTCCACTGTACTCTATACTTTAAAACCTGTTTTCTTTCCTCATTTGCTCCATGATGAAAATCTATGAAAGTCTATAATGAAAAACCCTTTTCCCTTAAGAAGCCAATAATTTTACTGATGCTCCTGATTTCCTCTCCTTCTGTCTCATCTGGAAGCTTCCTTTCTGCCATTTCTGCCATTATTTCTTCTTTCTCTCATCTCCAATTTCTCCTTATCCACTGACTCTTCATCATTTAAAAATGTCCCCAAAAATGTTCATTTTAAATCACCTTCATTAACTCTGTCATCCTCTTAAATTATCCTTCTACCTTTCTCCCTTATATAAGCTAGAGTTCTGTAGTATCTGAAGCCATGATTCTGAGATGAGAAAAATGAAAAAAAAAAAGTGAGAGAAAGGTCACACTATTTATGACACCTTCCATCCATTTCCAAACCATGCTGCCTGCTCTGGACATCCTGCTCTTCCCACCTCTACAGCCTGGACTGTGGCCCTGAGAACCTGGCCTTTGACAAGTGTGCTTCATCTTGCCCAAAGCCAGGGCACTAAGGCACTTCAAAACAATTTCCAAATAGTGCTATTTCTCTTGTTATCAACACTGGAAGTAGAACAGCATTCCTAGGACTGTGGATTCTTCTCTGGCCCACAAGCAAACCACCATACCACTTTCTGACCATCACCACACCTCACTCCTCCTTTCCAGTTCCAGCTCCTCTTTATTATATATTATATATCTAATATATCTCACCCTATTAAAACATTAAAATCTCTGAGGACAGAAGACCATCTGCTTGCTTGTTTTCTGTATCCCCACTGCTTATTACAGTACCTGACACATAATAAGAGCTTACTAAGTACTTTTTATTTCATTTCATTTTTTATTTTATTTTATTCATTATGCTGTAAGACTGGCATTAGTCATGAAGAACTTCCTGGAAGAGGTATATTTCACACGACAATTTAAAAGAAGTTAAACAATATGAGATGGTAAGTTTTCATCTTGCATTCAATGTGTCTGTGATCCTTAAACCTTAATCAGTAGAACTTTGGGGTTTTTTTAATTTTTTTTAAATTATTTTTAGGCAATTGGGGTTAAGTGACTTGCCCAAGGTCACACAGCTAGTAAGTGTCAAGTGTTTGGACTGAGGCCGCATTTGAATTCAGGTCCTCCTGACCTCAGGGCCGATGCTCTATCTACTGCACCACCTAGCTGCCCCAGTCAGTAGAACTTTGTAAGGTCAATTTCATATGGAAGGAGTTAGCAGCCCATAGACAGAATGAAGGTAAGTATGGCTGTAAGAGGTGGCAGAGGCCTCCACACCAATACTGAAATCCTGCTTTCAAATGATAATTACATGAGTTGTCCCAGGAAGGCAATTAAGTTTTGTTCCCCATTTATTTTCCTGTTTGAATTTAACTATATTATTTAAATTCTTTACCATTTGATTTATATCTCTAGCATTATTTGTATGTGGAGTATCATATAAAGTATTCCCTGTACAACAGGGAAGTTTCAGTACAATTTCAAGCTTTGTTGTTGTTCGGTCATTTCAGTCATGTCTGCCTCTTCACAACAGTATTTTGGGTTTTCTTAGCCAAGATACTGGAGTAGTTTGCCATTTCCTTCTCCAGCTCATTTTATAGATAAGGAAACTGAGGCAAACAAGGTTAAGTGACTTGGACAGGGTCACACAAGTGTCTGAGGCCAGATTTGAACTTAAGAAAGTGAGTTTTCCTGACTTCAGGTCTGGCACTCTATCTACTACACCACTCAGCTGCCTACAGTTTGTAGCTAGCAAGGCTTATAACTGCACTAAGACTTTTTGGGACACTCTGTACTCATGGTCAATCAAGCTGTGACTACCAGAAATGACCACCTAAATCACTTCATACTGAACATGCATGCTAAATGATCATAGGATCATAGACCTTGGAGGCCATCTGGTCTGACCCTTTCATTTTATAGAGAAGGAAACTAAAGCCCAGAGAGATTATATGACTTGCTTAAGGTCTTACTGGTAGTAATGGCCATAGGTAAAATTTGAACCTGCCACTTCTGACTCTAGAACCAGCATTCTTACTATGTACAAATGGGGTTCAAAAGGAATCTTTATAAGTTGGAAAAACAGACAAGCTGGAGAGTATCCAATACTAAAATATGGAAGAGCTTTGAGCTCATGTCATATGAGGATCAGGTGAAGAAGGGGAGATGTTTAGCCCAAAGAAGATTAAACTCAAGGTAGATATGATAGTTGTCTTTAAGTATCTGAAAAAATGTCACGTGGAATAGACTAGACTTTTCTGTTTGGCTTCAGAGCATGGGAGCAATGCATGGAAACTGCAAAGTATCAGATTTAGGAAGAAGAAACTTCATATTAGACAAAAGTAAAGTGGGGTATCCTGGGAAGCAAAAGTTTTCCCTTCACCAGAGGCCTACCTGCAAAGGCTGGATGGCCACTTCTGGTAGTGATGTGAAGAGGATATTTGTTCTCCAAGTCTTGTTGGAATAGATGGTCTCTGAAGTTCTAATTCTAGATTTTCTGATTCTATTTCTCAGATGGTGGAAGGGAATCATTGGGAGACATGGAAGGCCCCAAAATAATGGTTGCCATGTTGCTGCTGGTAAGATATCATGATGATGCTGAGGGTGATGGGCTTCCATTAGGCTAAATCTAAATGAGGTGGACATGGTGGGGGAGAGAGTGTTGGAAGAGGAAAGGTGTCTCATATGATTTGCTGAAGTGGAAATGGAGAGGAGGAGGGTTAGGAATAGCAAGTTTCAAATCCTTAGACCCAACCCTGGCTACAGACCCCAAAGAATTTGAAGGAATTGCTTTGAACACATATGAAAGCCCTTGGATCTCATAGAACTTGTATGAAACTATGATCTATTCAGCTGGCAAAATTCTTCCAAGCAGTTGGGAATCTGACTCTAGAAGAGTAACATAGAGGCCCAGGGCCCAAGGTCCATCCACAGTCCTTCTTTTCTGCACTTTTTCTTTCTTCTCTATGTGGGCACAACCCCAGTGTCTCTAGTCCCATCTCTATGCTCTAGGGTGGCTCCTAATGAGGACAAGGCCATCTAAGAAATATTGCACACAGACTGAGATTTTTTTTTTCCTTTCCATCACCAAGTGAGTTTTATTAAATGTCAAAGACTCTGTCCCCAGCTCCATAGGTGGTCAGAGTGATGGGAGGGGTAGAAAGAAGGAAGACAAAGAAGAAAAGAATGGGACATCACGCCTATGGTCTCTGTTGCCTCTCCTGGGTGTTCCTCCATTTAGACTTCATGAAATCCTCCAGATAGCGAATGACTCGTTCAATGTAGTTTTTTACAATCTTCACAACATCTAGAAAGAAAACATCAACAGAAACTTTTATCTTTACCATCATTATCACCTTTATTGTGAAATTCTCTCCAACAAAGGGGCAGAATGCTCTCCCCCCTCCAGAATGAGATACCACCAAGTAGCAGGAGAACAGAAGGGGGACAAGAAAGAAGGATAGCCCAACCAAGATTCAAACCTCAGACCATGACCCTTGTCAACATGACCAGCATACTTTGGGGTAGGGGTGGGGGTGCAGATAAGGGATGGATGAACCTGCCCTTCCCTCCATCCGTCTACCTAGTGAAACATGCTTCTTCAAAGTGGGGAGGGTGAGATTAGACAGCCTCTGTAGTGCTTTCATTCCCCATCTTGAGGGACCCCTGAACTGTGGAAGAAGTGATCCCTTAGTCACCCCCTGAAACACTCATCCACATCACATTTTTCTTAAATCAGTCATAGTAGAGAGCCTTGGGGCTCACTGTCCTAACCTCAGAATAAGGAGAGACAGAGGAAGGAGGAAGTATAGACATAATCTCAAGCTGAGTTACCTGGGAGGCTTAGTATACATTGCTTTAGTAGGAGCATATGCTGAAACCAGAGAAATTGAGGGACTAAGACAGTAAATCCACTCTCCATGGGTAAACAGATAAAAACATACTGTATGTTGAGGTCTCTGGGGTGGTGTCAGGAGCAATGGTGGCTCTGTCTCTGGCATTGATACTGGTACTCTCCGAGTCACTGACTATGATCTCTTCCTTCCAGGAAGTGTTGTCCCCTACTGTCTCTGAAGGGACTGGTGAGACAAAAGAGCTCTGGATCAACTCTCTGTTCAAAGGCAGCAACCTGCTCTTGTTTTTTCAATCTTTTTTTTTCAATTGCATGTAAGAACAATTTTTAACATTCATTTTTTTAAAAATTGACTTCCAAATTCTTTTCCCCCTTCCCTCCTCTGACCCCACTTTGAGAATTTGATACATATAGTCATGCAAAATATATTTCAATATTAGTTTTGTTATGAAAGAAAATAAAGACCCCCCCACTCCCCAATAAAAAATACCAAGAAAAATAGACTGTATAGATATAGTAGATATAGATAAATATGCTTCTGTATGAATTCAGATTCCATCAGTTCTTTTTCTGGAGGTGGATAGCATTTTTCATCATAAGTCCTTTGGATTTGTCTCAGATCAATGGATTGCTGAAAATAGCAAGTCATTCATAGTTAATCATTGTACAATATTGCTGTTGTTGTATACAATGTTCTCCTGGTTTTGCTCACTTCACTTTGAATTAGTTCATGTCAGTCTTTCCAGGTTTTTCTGAAAGCATCCTGCTCACCATTTCTTACAGCACAATAGGATTCCATCACAATCACATACCACAACTGATTTAGCCATTCCCCAATTGATGGGCATTCCATCAATTTCTAATTCTTCACCACCACAAAAAGAATTACTATAAATATTTTGGTCCATGTAGGTCCTTTTCCTTTTTCTTTTTTTATCTTTTTGAAATACAGACTCATTAGTGGTATACAGCAAGCTTATCTTGAAAAAATGAAAGATTCAGAAAAGCAGTGAGGTCCTCTTGAACTGGATGACAGCCATACCTTTGTCCTCTGTCACCTCCAAAAATAATTTGGCTTCCCTCTTCCTTGCCCTGTCCTGTCCTTTATTCTGAGATTGATCTAATCTCATTTCTGATGCTATTATCAGACTGTTAACTATTGACACACAATAATCTTTGCACAGGATGCTCCAGAAGACAGTGCTTCCTCAGGATCCAAAGTGAGGATCAGGACCTGATATACTCTTCCTTCCAGAAGACAGCAGCTTCTGGAAGTTCATCCTGTTGGAGTGGATGATCAAGCATTTGTCTTGGATTGTAGTTAGATGTATTCTTGTTTTGTCCTCACTCTTCCTTCTATCCCTTCCCCCGCCAACCTCTCTTCTACCACACACACACACACACACACACACACAACACATACACACACACACACACACACACACACCCCTACCCAATAACAGCTTTTGTGTCTGTAGTGACTATGAAATCCAGTACCTACTGCAACTCTGAGCCAAGAGACGTGATGAAAAGATCCCCACATTTGAGCCAACAGATCTGAATTCAGAAGCTGGCTCTTAAATTTCTAGTGTAATCTTAGATTATTTCATTTCTAGGTCTCAGTTTCTGTCTGCAAAACGCAAGGGTCAGATTCAATTTTTCTAAGGTCCCTTCCAGCTCTGGGTCTTATAACCCTAACCAGGCATGCAAAGCACATTTAACTTAATTTAGTAAACATTTGTTACGCCGTCCTTACACATTAAATGACTCTCAATGCAAGTAATAGATGACTTCATCTTTTTTTTCCTAAAGATCAAAGTCCAGTGATAAGAAACCCTTGATAGCTTGTCCAGTCTTTAATTATCTTTATTATCAGAAAAATTTATCCTTCTGTCCAGCTTAAATCTTTCCAGTTGTAATCTATATCAACTACTTGTCAATAACCATGGAGAATATCTTGTCAGCATCTTCCATCTAATGACCTTCCAAAAAAATGTATAAACTCTGCTCCAAAGGACATTAGACATTAGATCTAGGAGTTCTTACCTCAGAGTTCATAAACTTGTTTTTTTTAAAAAATACTTTGATAATTATATTCAATATAATTGCTTTCCTTTGTAGTCCCATGTATTTTATTTTATGCACCTAAAAATATTATTTTGGGAAAGGGTATGTAGGTTCCACCAGACTTCCAAAGGGTTCTGTAACACAGAAAAGTTTTTCAAATCTTTTAAATTATCTAGGCTGACCTCCTCATTTTACATCAAAGAAAACCAAGACATATAAAAGGAAGGGAAGACAACAAGTATTTTTTAAAGCACCTACTATATGCCAGGCACTGTGCTAAATGTTTTACAAATATCATCTCAGTTGATCCTCACAACAACAGTGTGAGGTAGGTGCTATTATTATGCCCATTTTACAGCTGAAGAAACTGAGGCAAATACATGTCTATGTGACTTGCCCGGTGTCACATAGCTGATATATGTCTGAGAAAAGATTTTAACTCAGTACTTCCTGATTCCAAGCTCAGACTTCTATCCACTGCCCTGATAACCTAGCAAATCACCTGATCTTGCTAACCTCTACTCTTTCCTTTCATGGTCAAAATTGTTGAAAGAATAGTAGTCATCATTCACTTTCCTCACCACCCATTCCTTGTTTTACCTCTGGCAATATGGCTTATATTCCCACCATTCTAAATCTGCTCTCTTCAGATATAATCCCTTACCTCAAAGAGTTTAGATGATACTAGGGGAGAAGAGAATTGAGCATTACAAAGAAGAAATCTGGATAAGATGTGATGAGAAATTCAAGGAAGAAGACTCCTTTTAGCTGGGGGAAATCAAAGAAGCTTTTCGGAGGAGATGGTTACCTGTGCTGGGCCTGGAGGAAAGAAAAGGACTTTAATAGGCATAAGTGGGAAGTGAGGGGAGGGATTGAGAAACTATTGAGGCATGATTCATTGACTGGAGATAGGCACAGCAAGATGAGAAAGGTGAGTCACACATTTTGACTTGTCCGTAGAGTAGAAACCAAAAGGGATTAGTATGAGATAAGGCTGATAAGGTAGCTAGTTTTTGAGGGGCTGTGAGTGCTAAGATAATGAGTTTATACTTTGTTAGGCAATGGAGATCTACTTGTTGTTGTCCTTCCTTCTTGAAGAAGACCAATGACATCATAAGGGTGATGTCTTGGTGAATTAGAGTAAGGCAGAGCTACCAAGAGTTTTGAGCGCAAGAGTGAAGTGATTGGAGTAGTTTATTAGGAAGCATAGCAGTGTAGAGGATGAGCCTGGAAGCTAGAAGACCAGTGAAGGAGGTTGTTACAATAACCCAGCTGAGAGGACATTATTGGCCACCTTTCTTTTTCTTTCTTTCTGTCTTCAATCAGGGTTAAGTGACTTGCCCAGGATCACATAGCTAGTAAGTGTTAAGTATCTAAGGCAGGATTTGAATTCAGGTCCTGCTGACTTCAGGGCCAGTGCTCTATTCACTGTGCCACCTAGGTTCCCCACATCCCTCTTTTTTTTAATACCTTGACTTCTGTCACATTAAACCTATTTGGTTTTCTTCTTACCTCTTTAACTGCTCCTCTTATGTTTCTTTCCCTTACTGTCCCCCTAATGTAAATATTCACAAAGCTCCATCCTTAGCTCTATATCCTTCTCTCTATATGTTGTCTCCTTGGCAGTCTGGTTCCCTCCCATAGATTCAACTATCATCT